TCATTCATGATAATATTATACTTTTTAATATTTTTACACTCTTAAATTGATAGCACTATGATAAACACCAATATTACAATTTTGTGAACTGTGTGTACATTTTTTGGGACATGCTGTATATGTGACTAATCGCTCAACTGCAGTGGGGAAAATGGTTAGGGCTACCGTTAAATATAGGTTAGCTGTACAGCTAATTTTATAGCCAGAGTAAAGGTTTGGGTATGGGTTCCTGTAAAAGTTGGACCTAGAACACAGAAAAAATACCCTTCCTGGAATTTACTTTAAGTCCATCTGCAGAGGGGGAACGGTAGGGCTTTCTGGTGGGGCGCGAAGAAAATGAAAATATGTGGAAAATCGGACTACGGAAAATTTAGAAGTAGTCTTTTTTAATTAATAGTGTTGGACAAAAGCGGCTTCACAAGAAAACTACCAGAGCTTTCTATTCCACAGTCTCAATGACGTGGGTTCGTACTGCAGGTATGACATAATGCGGCTTTATGGTACCACCAGCTGGCTGACGACGGTGAATGAGCCATAACATAACATTGCAGTTTATCTCATCTGAGTAAATAAAACTGCAAGCGTGTTTCACCTGTACGGGAAGCAAGCGAGTAGTTCAGTAGTTTTAAAAATAAAGTACAAAGACCAAAATGACAAGGAGGTACGTGGTGTGGGAATGCGGTCCTCCTCGGGTATTAGTACTTCCTCTTCCTCTTCTTCCTCCTCTTCTTCTTCCTCTTCATCATCGCCCATTCCAAAGGGATTCTGAAAAGATAAAGTTTTAGGGTGAATATTTTTGAGATTTATATGGGCATTCTGCAGGTAGCTTATTTTTGTCGTCCAATATACATCCAACACCGTCCTGGTAGCATTAGATTACGACCAGACGTACCCTTATCATGACTTTTTGCGATAGGGATGATGCAACGTTCGACTGGTTAACCGTATTACATTATCCCCAAAACCATTGGCTATCTATTCTCTCGCGCACCGATGGTGCGTGCAGTTAATGTGTGTGTAATGCGCGATAAGTGCACACTAGCAAATAAACTTAAACCCCTTGTAACTCTTTTACTGAACTAAAACGGTAGTATGTCGCGGAAATAACGAAAAAGGTCAAGAAGACCATAAGAGGAACTCCTATTGGTTAGCAAAGGAAGCTTACAAACAAAGAAAACTATTAAAGCAGCTTCTATAGCCATCAAGTGGACCCACTATGAATCGCTGTCAAAAACCTTATGAAGGCGGACACTGTCTTCCTTAATCATGACTTTCAAACCCACGTACGAATGAGAACTAGGTTACGTGAATGGACTTTGCAGTCCAATAAAGCGCATGGTTCTCACCTCAATCTCCCAGGCATATACAGGGTGTCCCAGAAGTAACTGACCCTTTTGATTTGCTTATAAAACGAAA